ACTGCTTGAACCCGGGAGGCGGAGGTTGCAGTGAGCCAAGATCATGCCATTGCGCACCAGCCTGGGTGACAGAGCAAGACTCTGTCTCAAAAAAAAAAAAAAAGAAAAGAAAAAATTGTAAGAACAGCACAAAAAGCCCATTTCACCCTTAACCTAGATTTCCCAATTGTTAATATTACTTGTGTAGTTAATTGTTCATAATTGTTAATAACACCACATTGCTTACCTTCTCTCTATATATACATATATATATCAAATATATATGTATGTCAGTGTATGTATGTGTGTGTGTGTGTCAGGATATGTCGGATGGTACATATATGCTGACATATATTGACTATATATAGCGAGACATTGTGCCTGCATGGCTTATAAACAACGGAAATGTATTTCTCACAGTTCCGGAGGCTGGAAGTCCAAGATCAAGGTGCCAGCACGTGTCTGGTGAGGGCCTGCCCTCTTCATAGACAGCACGTGTCCTCGTGTCCTCAGGTAGAGGAAGGGGCAAATGAGCTCCTTTGAGCCTCTTTTATAAAGGCACTAATCCCATGCATGAGGCTCCAGTTGCCTCCCAAAGGCCCCACCTCATAATACCATCACTTTGGTGATTAGGTTTCAACAGATGACTTTTTGGGAGATACAACCTTTAGACCATAGCAGTGCCCTCATCCCTGAATATCCCACTGTGTACCTCCTAAAAACAAGGACACTCTTTGTCATCCCACCACAAGACTGTCCAAGTCAGGAGATGAACACTGATGCAGTACAGCCATCCAATCCACAGACCCGGTTCAGATTCCACCAAGGGCCCACCAGCCTTTCCTGTGCAGGCTCCCAGACAGCACGCCTTGCACTGAGCTCATGGTCACTTCAGTCCATTCCCATCTGGAGCAGCCCCCAGTCTTTTTCTGCCTCCGTGCCCTTGGCACTGGAGCACAGGTCCTTCATCCCATGGGCTGAGACCCCCTGGCACTCAAGGCTATAATAGCACCGAGGAGATGCTGTGTCCTTCTTAGTGCATCAAGCCAGGAGCGCACGGTGCCACCTGTCCCACCGGAGGTGGTCTCACCTTGATCACGCAGTCAAGCTATGTCTGCTGCTCCCCACTTAAGTTTGATAGTGGTTTGTAGGAAGATAGTCCAATGTGTTGCCAACATCCTGTTTCTCATCAAACCTACACCCACCAGGGACACCCACATGGATCCACAACTACTGTTACTGTTGCCTAAGAGTAATGATCTATTTCTGTCATTCCCTCTACATTTACTAGTTGGCATTCTACTATAAGGACGAGCTTTTCCTTCTCATTTATGTATTCAATTACTTATTTTTTATGAGTACCGATTCATAGATTCCTATCACATACAATGTATGGTAATCCAATTATTTATTTTGATCCTTATTTTAAAATCTGCCTGCAAGAGCCCCCTCGAGCCCTCTGTTAAATGACCTCATTAAGTCAGACTCACCCAGGGAAATCTCCCTTTTGATTAACTCCAAGTAAACTGATTAGGGACCTTAATTATACCTGCAGATCCCTTTATCTTTTCCTTATAACTAACCTAATTACAGGAGTGAAATACCTGCCTCTTTTTGATATATCTTCGTTATTCTTATTATTCTCAGGGGCTTCTTTGCTATCTGGTACAAACATGTTCTTGGATTCTCTTGGACTTTCCCCACCCCTGTGCTGGAATTGGCCATTTCTCCGACCAAGGCCTGAGTGACGGCTGCACTTGTGCCTGCTAGGGTGTCATTCCTTCTAGGCCTGTCCAGATACAGAGACAGCAGGTATGCGCATGTGTATATATGCACACACATATATCCATATATATAAATATACAAACATGCATGTACATCTATAACAATTCTCTAACTCTGGGCATATGTAAGATACAGATATGCAACTCATGAATGTAGACCTCTATGTCTAATTTCAAGGTTCTTTCCAGGCTCCTCCTTTCCTCAGCTTTACATGACAAAGAGGGTGAAGAGTCCTGGGGAATCGGGAGGGACCTGTCTAGAAGAGCTGGTCAGGAAGCGCTTCTCCGAGGAGCTGAGCCTGGGTGAGGAGACATGGTGGAGAGGATTCCAGGCAGAGAAGCAGCAAGCAGAAAGCGTCAGAAGCCAGGGCAAGACCACGGTGGCCATGGTGTGCTGAACAGGCCGAGAGTCTGCTGGTTATGCCTGGTGAGGCGAGAAGGCATTGCAGAATTTCAGGGAAGGGTATGACATGATGTGCTTTGTATTTTAAGCCATCACTCTGGCTACCATGCTGAGGATTGATTGTGGGAGGATAGGGATGAAGGAGAGCATTGCGCATGCTTGCCCTGGTAAGCCATGGGCTCACTCACCCCACAGCCAGCTCCAGAAACTAGGTGGCTGGCAGCATCGACAGTGCTCACCCCCACTTATTTCTACTCCGGTGGGGCCTGTTAGGTGATGTGAAGGATGTGACTTCACAGGGACATGAGGTCCACTCTCCCTCTCCTGGCCTCTGGGTCAGTCCTTGCACGATTGGAAATGAAAAACTGTGAGCACCTCAGAGATGTCTGATGCTTGAAAAGTTGGGTTCTGGGGGAGATCCGTGGGATGCAAGTCTGTTGCAACCTCTGATCAGAGGACTGCGGCTCCCTGCATGCATCTCATCCCCACAACCAGCACACTCCAGTTTGATCCTGACATTTTATAGGTGCAGAAACTGAGAAGCCACATGACTGTCCGTGATCACAGATATTGACCATATCCTCTTGCTCCTGCTTTCCAGTGTCCAGGTCAATGTTTCGCAGCTCCAAGCACACACACCTCAGCTCTCCACCTTCTCCCTGGCATGCATCTTTATGGACACAAAAAATGAAAATTACATGCTTGGCTGTGTAAGGAGAAGAGGTCTCTCCCTTTACATCCACACTTGGAAGTTTGTGTGATGCATTAAAGTGGGTTTTGTTTTGTTTTTTTGAGACTAAGTCTTGCTCTGTCTCAGGCTGGAGTGCAGTGGCGTGATCTCGGTTCACTGTATCTTTGACTCCTGGGTTCAAGCGATTCCCCTGCTTTAGCATCCAAAGTAGCTGAGACTACAGGCAATCACCACCATGTCAGGCTAATTTTTTGTATTTTAGTAGAGACGACGTTTCACCAGGTTGGCCAGGATGGTCTTGAACTCCTGATCTCGTGATTCATCCACCTTGGCCCCCTGAAGTGCTGGGATTACAGGTGTAAGCCACTGTGTCTGGCCTAAAGTGTGTTTTTAACCCACACCTTTGTCTCCTATGAGAGGAGAATGTGCTTTCATAGGACCCAGCTCTGATTTCCCTGGGGCTCTTCCATTGGATCCCCTCAGTTCGATATTAGTCAAATAAAACAAGGTCACCTGCACCTTGTCCCCCACATGGTGCCTCCTCTCCGTAGATAGATACCGTTGGCCTCTTTCCCCTGTGCAGAGAAGCTACTAAGTCACGTTGGATACATGGACAGTATCTGCTTGTACTACAGCAGATGCTGGGCATAAACACCTCAGTAACTACAGGGGCTGTAGTCATCTTCTACCGCTGCCTAACAAATGACCACACACTTCGCCACTTCCAGCAATCCAAACATCCTAACTCAGTTCCCATGGGCCAAGGAACCAAGCCCACACCAGTGGGGTCCACCACAGAATCTCACCAAGCACAAATCCTCATGTTGCCCAGGGCTGCATCCTCTCTGAGGTAAAGTCTCCCCTCCCAAGCTCATTGGCTGTTGGTAGAATTCAGTTCCTTGTGGTTGAAGGATGCAGGATCCGAGCTCCTAGGGCAACCTGTGTGGCCCCCCGTGGCCCTCCCCATAATATGCAAATCTTTGGGGCCAAGGGAGAGGGTTTCTGATGCTTCAAATCTCTCCTCAGGAAGCCCCCAGGCCTAGTTAGGTCAGGTTCACCCTGGGAAGTCTCCCTTTTGATTAACTCCAAGTCAACTGATTAGAGACCTTCATTATACCTGCAAAATCCCTTATAAGTAACGTAATTCCTTTTAAGTAACCTAATCACAGGAGTGAAATACAATGGAGTCCTGTTCACACTCAAGGGGAGATTTTAGAGAGTGCATGCTCCAGGAGAAGGACTCATGAGGGCACCTTAGAGTTTGCTCAGTTGAGTTACATATTCCCTGCTATCTTTCTCTTTCTTTTCTTTCTTTTTGAGACAGAGTCTTGTTCTCTTGCCTAGTCTGGAGTGCAATGGCATGATCTTGGCTCACCTGCACCTCCTGGGTTCAAGCGATTCTCCTGCCTCAGTCTCCCAAGTAGCTGGGATTACAGGTCCGCCACCATGCCCAGCTAATTTTTGTATTTTTAGTAGAGACGGGGTTTCACCATGTTGGCCAGGCTGATCTTGAACTCCTGACCTCATGATCCGCCTGCCTTGGGCTCCCAAAGTGCTAGGATTACAGGCATGAGCCACTGTGCCTGGCATACTTTTTAAGCTTTTTAAAAAAATCACGATAAAATACACAGAACGTAAAATTGACCACCTTAATCATTTGGAAGTGTACAATTCAGCAGCACTGAGTACATTCAAAGTGCTGTGCAGACATCACCACCATCTCTCCAGGATTTTTTCATCTTCCCAAGTGGAAACTGTACCCATTAAACACCAACTCCCCCTCCCGGATCCTTCAGCCCCTGGTGACCCCCTAACCCCAGCTTCTTGTGCATTTGTTTTCTCCAATGCACCTGGTGGCAGGAAAAGGCTCAGATAAAACTACAGATTCTCCTGCCTCACTTCTCACGCTTGTAATTTTATCAATCCAGTTTCTTGAGCAACTCAAAATAAATATGCATCTGGGCTTGTTCTTTAAAAGAGCAAGCCAATCCCTCCTAGGCTGGGACTGTGAGCTCTGGCTGATCCGTGTGCTGGGAAGAATAAAGAGAAAGTCAGATGTTGGAAACAGGTCACTTGTTTGATCCCATCTCTCTACAACCTCACACATAACACGCACTGAAAACAAACTCCCAAAGTCAGCATATATGGTACATTTCCTTTAATTTAGAAAAGACCTGAGTCCAGACTAAATGAGGAACCTCATGCCTCTCTGGTGTCTCAATTTCCCACCTAACTAATGGGATCTGCAAAGTCTACATTTTTAAAAAGTTACATGCTCCTTGTATAGATAGAAGGAACATACCAGAAGAATCCAGATAGATTTTAACACTTTGAGAATTAAAGTCCCAAACTGCACCAACAAAGATAATTCTGCAGTCTTTTTTGGAAGCTTCTCTCCTCATAAATCTGTTGCTAATAGGGTGATGAACATGACATTGACTCTAGGGTTTCTAATAGAATCAGTGGGTCATAGGTAAAATTTTGCTCCTTTCACTCTAGGGGTCTCAGGCACAGCTGTCTCCAAAACATAATAGAATTTTCTTCCCTTTATTTGGGTTTGCATGAATGTTGTATTTTTGTGCATTGCAGATTTCCACAGCTTTGTTAGCAAGGCGTAATTATTTCCAGACAAGATGCTGGCTCTGATGACTGCCTCATCCCTAATGTGGCTTTTGAGTTTCGCAAGCGGCAAACCCAGAGCTTTCCTCCCTGTGCCTTCTGTGCATCCTGGTAATGTGGCAAAGAGAAATCACAACTAGGAAAGAAGTTGTCATTTTAAGCGATGATAAAGCGTTTCCAGAATAAAATAATTGTTGTTCAAATTCCAAACCCACATGTGTAGAAACTATAATTTTCTGTGTGGATGGCAACTTTCTTCCACAGACAGAATAAGGGGTGATTGTGCCAATGGCCTCTGCTCTTGAAGTATTCCTGGGTCTGGAGGAAATCTTTCAATGACAGAACATTCAGCAGCCCATCCATGCGTGAAAAGCCTGCAGGTAAGTGTGCCGTACAGCAAAGAACAAGCAAACTAGAGAACTGCACCAACTTATTTCCATTCCCCAGCCCTCTGAAAACCCACAAAGGGAAGTTCCATGGGCAGCCAGAGCTTGCTGAGAACCAGAGTTCACTGAGTGACCATAGCACTGAAGAACTTGTTTTGCATTGGCTTTCCTTAGAGATTTAGATTTATTTATTTATTTCACCTGTTGCTCGGGCTGGAGTGCAATGGCACAATTTCGGCTCACCACAACCTCCACCTCCCAGGTTCAAGTGATTCTCCTGCCTCAGCTTCCTGAGTAGCTGGGATTTCAGGCTCCCGCCACCATACCCAGCTAAGTTTTGTATTTTTAGTGAAGACAGAGTTTCTCCATGTTGTACAGGCTGGTCTTGAACTCCTGACCTCAGGCAATCTGTCTGCCTCAACCTCCCAACGTGTTGGGATTATAGGTGTGAGCCACCACGCCCGACTGAGATTTGTTTTTAAACAGCAAAACAAATACAAATTCAAGAGACTTCTTGCTTAAAAAAAAAAAAAAAAAAAAAAGAGGAAGGTGGTATTTATATTGCCACATCAACATTTTTAATGTACTTTAAGATAAAAGAGGCAGGCACGGTAGCTCAAGCCTGTAATCCCAGCACTTTGGGAGGCTGAGGAGGGTCGATCACAAAGACAGGAGATTGAGACCATTCTGGCTAACATGTGAAACCTCGTCTATACTAAAAATACAAAAATTAGCCAGGTGTGGTGGTGTGCGCCTGTAGTCCCAGCTACTCAGGAGACTGAGGCAGGAGAATCATTTGAACAAGGAGGTGGAGGTTGCAGTAAGCCGAGATCACGCCACTGCACTCCAGCCTGGCAACAAAGCAAGACTCCATCTCAAAAAAAAAAAAAAAAAAAGATGAACGAAAAATCCATTAAAACAGGGAATAATAACCAGTCCCTAAAGATCCGTTTGCAGCTCTTTTCACTTCCTCCAGAGTGAAAGAAATTCCAGTTTCATGATGTCATTGCTTAAGCCAGGTCTTCCTGAGGATACAGCTGTTCAGATGTATGTATGGAGGTTCTGTTTCTGCAGTTTCCGCCTGTGCTTCCCAGAGGCAAATGAGGAGGATGGGCCATGGCAACATTCAACAAGCTGGCCTCACCCAACACGAACACACCTGCCAGCTCTGCAGTTCTGACCTTGGCTGGCCTCCCTGCCCTGCCCAGTTTTGAGCCTCATCTTCATCTTTGAGCAGTGGCTGGAAGTCACAGCTGCAGCAAATGTGCAGAATCTGAAAATAATTTAGAATAAAATTAGATCAAAAACCACGTTGTTAAATCCAGCCATGTGCTACAGAGACCTGGCAAGCTTGCACACATCTCTTAAGTAGACGGAAGCAGGTGACATATGACCAAATGTAGGGGCCAGGTCTGGGAGCTGACATATTTGCAAGACAGTGATTTAGCAAGTACAAAATCAACAAAAATAATCCTGCCCTCTCTACCTCTAGCTCCTGTGTCCAAGCTAACATCCCTGCTCATGTTGCAAGCTCAGTCAAGCTGGTAAGGAGGCCCCAAAAATTCACTTGGAAATTCAACTCCAAGTTTATTCACAATCTTTTTTTAAATTTTTTTAGTGGGAAAACGACTTGTAATCCTGAAAAGAGAGAGCATTAAGTGTAAAAAGGATGAAGATAAATCAAATCTATTTCTGGTATCTTGGGGTTTGGAAGTAATCTGTGGATATTTGGCCTTTTCCTTATTTGTTATGTTTAAGAGGATTTTGTGTGCTGGAGTGTCAGTCAAACGTAATTCTAACTTAAAATGTGCAGTTAAAAAGTTGATGCAGACTATAATTTTATGTTAATATTTTAAGAGTATATAAAATTCATTATATGGCTATAGTTTGTTATATTTACAGGAATTATTAAATACTTGGGAAGATTTTTTGTATTAATCAGACAAGGAAGTCAAATGAATACATTTATAAAGACTGTTCAAAAAGTTTAATGCAATTTGTGTTTGTTAATGGGACCAAAATGAACCAAAGTCACCCTTTAAAAAGTATTAAATGTTACTAGATTAATTTAAAAAAAATTTGCAGGTTGAATGTTATATATAAATGTCATGAAGAACACTGACGATGTGTTAGAGAACATTTAAAATATTCACCATTTTAAAAATTCTTAATATGAGATTCTTTTTTTTTTTTGAGGCGGAGTTTCACCCTTGTTGCCCAGGATGGAGTGCAATGGTGCAACCTCAACCTCTGCTTCCTGGTTTCAAGCAATTCTCCTGCCTCAGTCTCCAGAATAGCTAGGATTACAGGCATGTGCCACAATGCCCAGCTAAGTTTTGTATTTTTAGTAGAGATGGGTTTCTCTAAGTTGGTCAGGCTAGTCTCGAACTCCTGACCTCAGGTGGTCCACCTGCCTCGGCCTCCCAAAGTGCTGGGATTACAGGCTAGAGCCACTACAGCACTTCAGTAAATATCATGTTTTCTTCCATTGAAAGGATGGTGAATTTCAGGCTTGACTGATGTGCACATGCTTACAAGAGAGGCAAAGGGCAGCAGAGTGAAGGCCCAAGACTGTCACTAGTTAGCCTGTGAGCTCGAGTCTCGATTTTTTCATCTCTAGAATGGCATAATAATAATTATATCATGCAGCCAACTATGGGATGAAATGTTGTGGCTAAAGAAAGCCCCCTGACAACTATCTGGTCCATGGCAGCACCCCACAGACAGTGCTTGTGATTGTCACCTCACTGTGAGACCTACAATAATAGTCATGCAATGCTCTTTTTCTCTGGGCCATTGTTTTCTTGGATTATATTGACAATTTATATTGTAAGGAAATCTCCCAGAATGACCCTGTTAAGGTGTCGGAAATATCACAGACATGTCAGCTTGAAGCCCTCCGATGGCTTCATCTTGGTCAGAGGAGGAGCCGAGCTTGGACTGTGGCCTCCAGGTCCCTTGGCAGATGGCTCAGTGCTTTCCTGGGACATGCTAGGCACCTTCCATGGCAGGTCTTTGTGACAGCTGTTCCCTCTGCCTGGAAGCTCTTCCTCAAGAATTCGGTATAACTCACCTCTTCCACTTTCAGGCCTCTGTTTGAATATCACCTTAGCCCCCTATTGAAAACTGCACCCCACCCAACAAAGCAACTTCGTGAATAAATGCATCATCCCTGTGTCAAAAGGGGTGATCTGAAAGCTTAAGAAATGGTAAAAGGATTTTCCTCATGGTTTATGCTTTGTTGCTAGGCTGCATTTTTTTTTTTTAGATGAAATTTTGCTTTTGTTGCCCAGGCTGGAGTGCAATGGCATGAACTCGGCTCACTGCAACCTCCTCCTCCCAGGTTCAAGAGATTCTCCTGCCTCAGTCTCCCAAGTACCTGGGATTACAGGTGTCCACCACCATACCTGGCTAATTTTTGTGTTTTTAGTAGAGATGAGGTTTCACCATATTGGCCAGGTTGGTCTCGAACTCCTGACCTCATGATTTGCCTGCCTCAGCCTCCCAAAGTGCTGGGATTACAGGCATGAGCCATCATGCCTGGCCTGCAATTTTTTTTTAAAAGTCCTCTTATGAAGTTCAGAGACCAAGGATCTTTCTCTTGCAAACTGATAGTAGTTTGCTGCTATGTTCCTAATATCTAAACAGTGCCTGGCACCCAGAAACAACAAAGGATTTGAAGGAAAGAGTGGGTCAGGACTTGGCAACATAGGTTTTAATCCCAATTCTAAGACTTGCCTGCCTTGTGATCATGTAAAAATCATGACCTCCTTGAGTCTTCATTTACTTCTCTCCAAAATGGACCTAACAGTCTGTCTCCTGGTTGCTTGATAGCGCTGCAGTCAGGATTAATTGAGATGTAAGTGCATCTCAATTAATACGTACTACAAGGCCCTGCAGAAACATGACTGATTATTATCAGTTGTGTTAATAATTAGTTGGTGCCATTTGCAAAGACTGCCTACTACCTGCATTCTGTTTTAGATGTTTTTGGATTGGGAATTGTGTCTCCTGTGGCCTTTGTATGAAATTAAATTGCTACATCAAGTATGACAAACATCTCCAGCACCATCGAGGGTTTAGCCCTGTGGCATGACAGGAGGAAGGGGGAAGGATGGCCCACTGCAAATTTTCTCAAGACTGGTGAAAACTGTGGTCAACTGAAAGATTCTGGAGATCTATCAATGAGGCCAGACTAACATCATTGGATTTTGCCTCATTATCCTATAAATGCCTGGGCAGCGTCCTCTTGGAAGGATTGTATTGAAGGAAAGACTTGAAGTACATTACTGGGATAATACAACAATCCCATGAGTAAGTGTACACCTCGTGTCCAAAGGGTGGTAAAAAGACTTAAGAGATGGCCACAGGATTCTCCACATGGTTTGTATTGGGTAGATCAGTCTGCAATTTTTTTTTTTTAAACTCTTCTCATGAAGTTCAGGGACCAAGGGTCTTTCACCTGTAGATTGACACTCTTTTTCTTTTTTTTTTGAGACAGAGTCTCTATTGCCCAGTCTGGAGTGCAGTGGCATAATCTCAGCTCACTGCAACCTCTGCCTCCTGGGATCAAGTGATTCTCCTGCCTCAGCCTACTCAGTAGCTGGGATTACAGGCACCCACCACCACACCCATCTAATTTTTGTGTTTTTAGTAGAGACAGGGTTTTACCATGTTGGTCAGACTGGTCTCAAACTCCTGACCTTGTGATCCACCTGCCTCAGCCTCTCAAAGTGCTGGGATTACAGGCATGAGCCACTGCGTCCATCCTAGATTGATACTCTTAATCACAAACAAGCCCAGGCTTGTGTTCAGAGACAAAGGCAGTGTGACCCGTGACTGTTACAGCAATACAAAATAATGGCAGCAGTCCCACTAGCCAAGACCAGCATCGAATAGGGCAGGTTACTCAAACAGGTAACTCAGTGACCACTCCAAATGCCTGTGCTTAAGGTAACTTAGGGAGCCAGGTTTTGCAAGGATGTGCAACAACGTTGTGCCCCCTAGGGCTCACCAGAATTCAGTACCTAATGCAGCTACTCTCACCACAGACCAGGTTCCCAGGGAAATAAAACATGTAAGTTGCCAATACAAAAGACGGAAGTCAACCTCACTGCCCTGCAGGGCTTTAAAAATGAGACACTTGTCATTAGCAGGCGCTAAGAACAAGAGATGAGTGCCATCTTGTGGAGAGACCCATAGGCATGCACAAAGTTGCACCCCAAGTTCTCTTCCAGCACAAGCATTTGCCAAACTCATCCCCTCTTAACCATCTCCTGTGTCAAATGCACTTGATCACCTATTTCACAGGGCTTTTTCAACTTTTCCAAAATAGCAACAGTTTAACAGCTGATCACCTGAAGTTTCCTCACAGCAGCCTGAGGCCGGCCAGAAGCTCTCCAGAAAGGCTGCACCATGTTGTCCTCCCATGATAGGGCAGCCTGTCTCCTCAGTTTGTTGGCCTCCCCATTGGTAGAAAAGAGGGGGTAATGGTCCTTTTGCTCATGCAGCCTCTCCCCTACTTCAATGCCCATCATTTGGTTTGGTTTCATTACATACTACACACCACATAGGCACTGGGGATACCAACATAACAATGGCAGGCCAGCAAGGAATTGGGGAAACAGACATGTAAGTGACAAGTGCTGTGACTGTGCAGAGCAACAGGGCAGAGAGCCGAAGGAGGAGGGAGAGAACTCCTGGGGCTCAGTCTACAGAGTAGCCATCACTGAGGATGCACCACTGCCCTCGTGTTCCCTGGGACCCCAGCAGACTCCTTTGAGTTCTAGCTGGAGCAGGAGCTGTGGCCATGTTGACCAAGTCCGTCCTCGGGGGGCCCTCTGCCCACCTATCCTGCCCTAGAGGAAGTTAATTTAGTGACAGTCTATGTGAAGATAGTCAGTAGGTGCAAAAGGCCAAAGAAAGGCGCCCTGGGTGTGTTTCTGAAAGGAGACTCTGGGACATGGTCACTGCAAAGGTGAACTCTGACTTTGGCCTTTCCTGAAGCCAGGAAGTCATTTCCTGCTGCTGTGAGCTTTTGAGGGCTACCTCCATGAACCAGGCAAAGCCAAGAGCAAACCCGAGTATCAGGATGGCAGGAGACCCACAGTCAGGGCACCTCTAGCCCATCCACAGTGCTGCACCATCTGAGTCCCCACCACACACCAAGCACCGGATCAACCCAGGCCTCGCTGGGTCCGGGGAAAGTCTCCAAAGCTGGCCTGACTGCAACACTCCTCAATCACCGGGAACCACCCCTTTTAACAGAGGAAAGCAGGTCTTGGGCTTACAGCAGCTCAAAGGCTACAGCACAACAATGGTTTAATGACATGCTGGGGTGGGTGTCACTGCCACTGTTGTATCAAACCGATGAGCTTTGGGCTGCCTTGGATTGATGACTTAGAGAGGGTCTGTTACACTTTCCGTAGTAAGAGCTCCCTTCTAAAGTAAGTTCTGTATTTGTGATTGCATCATAACCCATCATGCAGATATGCAGACGTGTCTGTTTGTTTTTACTCTTTTCATTCTATTCTTCCCTATATTTTTGAAAGAACAAAAACATTTTGACCATCCAAACACTCTGATTAGAAAAGAACGGCGCGAAAGTACAAATGATGACATAAAAATAATCAGCCAGCCTCCCTGTCAACATGGGGAAATAGAAAAAGTGGGAATAGAATAAGATAATGGAAAGCAGAACACTAAATTCTTCCATGCCATGAGCACAGATAAGTCAACACTTGCAAGAATAGGGAGAGGGTCAAGAAATCAACCTGGGGAAACAGAGAAAGGTGCAACCTCTTTACAAGTAATTTTCTTGATTGTTGTTAGAGTGCTGCTTATGTAATAATATTTTAATTTTAATGGAAAGATTGACAGAAAGGAAACCATGAGGAAACAGTGTGGGTAGTTTGTGGACATGGAATGAAAATCATAAAGGTAACCTGGGTGCGGAGGGTCACACTGGTAATGCCAGCACTTTGCAAGGCCAGGGTGGGTGGATCCCTTCAGCCCAGGAGTTCGAGACCAGCTGGGCAACATGGTGAGACCCCATCTCTACAAAAAAATACAAAAATTAGCCGGGTGTAGTGGTGTGCACAGCCAGGTGGTGGTAGTCACAGCTACTCCGGAGGCTGAGTTGGGAGGATTACTTAAGCCCAGGAGGTCAAGGCTGCAGTAAGCTATGATCCTGCCATGGCACTCCAGCCCAGGCAACAGTGAGACCCTGTCTCAAAAAAAAAAAAAAAAAAAAAAAAAATCACAAAGGTAGCATGAAAATCACTAAAGTTGCAGAATAAATCAGAGACTCTAACAGCTTTGCTAGTTATACCTGATGACATTAAGTGACAGCTTTTAAAATACCAATCTATGAACATCGCAATGACCCATTTCCTGGTAGGCCATCTTGATGTTGTCCGCAGCACTGGTATTGAGGAAGAAGTCACCCGAGTCTTTCCTGAAGTGGAGCTCCACCTGCAGGAGGCAGAATAAGGGAGAGTTGGGCTGTGTTTTGGAGGGCGAGGGGGTCCCCCCGATGGGTCTTACCCAGGCAGCCGGCAGGGCAAGGGCTGTATCTGGAAGCCAAGACGGTTGTAGATGGTCACCTCTTCCAGGCTCACTCTCATGTCCTCTACCAGGATGAGCTCTATGGAGGCCGATGAAGGCACTGGAGGGTCATGCTGAAGGGCAAGGGGCAAGGCCATGAGATGCAGGAGGCCACAGGACACCCATGGGCCAATACCAGGTCATCCTGCAGGCCGCTCTTTAAGAAGAGCAGGCCCAGAAGGTCCAGAAGCCCCAGGGCCTGGCCTTGCTCCCAGCCATAAGCCCTGATAAGCCCCTGGTGCTCCTGAGCCCAGTGGAATGGCCAAGGCCTATTTGAGGCCTCCCATCAGCCCCCCAAGGGGGAGTGAGTTGCTGGCTCCTCCACTCCAGACCCAGAAGTGTGTTGGCAGCAGTCCAGCTTAGATGCCTCCCCACCCTACCAGGCCCCAGTGGTGGGTCAATCTCACGCACACCCTGCCCTTCAAGACCTCACAGCAAAGGGCCAGCTTCAGAGCATGTGGCAGACACCACTCCTGGCAGGGACAGGAAGGCTGCTGTCAGCCAGGCTAGGCAGTGGGGGTGGGTCCCCTGGAAGAGTGGCCAAGCCTGGCTCACAAGAGAACAAGGACAGCCTTCATCCCCTAGGGCGGCATATGACCCACAGAGCTCTGCTTCCTGCCTTGTGTCACACAAGGGTGCCCTGACACACCCAGATCCAAGGCCCTCAGGGAGTAGCGTGTTTGAGCACCTCCTCGGGGCCACAGTTGTGCCAGGCACTCCGGGTGCAGCAGCTGCCCACAGGGAGAGGCAACTCCAATGCATGGATGAAAGAGCAGGAGCAGGCCAAGTGCGGTGGCTCCCACCTGGAATCCCAGCACTTTGGGAAGCCAAGGTGGGAGGATCACTTGAGCCCAGGGGTTCAAGACCAGCCTGGCCAACATGGCAAAACCTGACTCCACTAAAAATACGAAAAATGAGCTGGGAGTGCTAATGCATGCCTGTAATCCCAGTTACTCAGGAAGCTGAGGCAGGAGAATCACTTGAACCAAGGCAGCGGAGCTTGCAGTGAGCTGAGATCACGCCATTGTACTCCAGCCTGGGTGACAGAGTGAGATTCTGTCTTGGAAAAAAAAAAAAAGGAGAAAAAAGTGCAGAATCCTGAGGGGAACATGTCAGGGTGTAAAGGCTCCAGGCAGAAGGCAATGACGCCCCCCATTCCCGACCAAGGGATTCCTAATGCCAGTGAGGGCTGAGCCAACTGGGACAGGCACAGGTGTGCCCCTTCAGGGGCCATCTCCCTCCAGACCAGCCTCCTGAGTGCTGCCCTCATGGGCCTCAGTCTCTTCCAAATCTTGCTCCCCAGGAGGCAATAAAAGCACCTCATCCTGGCATTTAGGAACCCTGGGAATCCAGCCCCACTTTCTCCTACCAGCCTGTGCCTGCTGCCTCCACCTAAATGCAGAAAGACCTACATTTCCTGGTGGCTATGCCCTATGTGGGGTGGCTATCATCCATGCAGGGCTATTCCTGGGGAGCCTTTCCCTTCCCCACCTCCAGTGCACCTACGGGGCCCCTACTGTTAATAGCAGCACCTCTGCCTGGGGCCCCGAGAGGCTGGGGTGGGAGAGAGGCAGTCCAGCAGGCAGAAATTCACGTCCCCAGATGGTGGCAAGTGTGTGCGAGGTGTGTGTGTGTGTGTGTGTGTGTGTGTGAAGGGTTAGAGGTTTCTGCATTGTGGCAGAAGGAAAGCAGAAGCAGTTGTGGGATCTAGGGCAAAAGAGGCTCCTCTGTGTCTGGGTCTCAGGGATGCTCCCCAGAGTGCCAGATATATCAGCTGGGACTGAAGAGACCAAAGGGCACCCAGTGAAGGAGAGTAAGTGGGGGACTCCAGGCAGCGGGGACTGTGTGTAGGAAACACACATGTCCGCCGACCTGCGGCCCAGGCCACTCTTCTCTGGGCACACAGGCTGGTCTGTAAGGCAGGGCCGTGGGGAGAACAGGCAACCCCTAGTGGTCTAGGAGGAGGGCTTCTCCTTGAAGGTCTCAGGGCCAGCAGGTGGGTGGTAAAGGCCAGAGGTGGCTTTTCTTTGGATCCCTCTGGGAGCCTGAAAGGAGGAGCGTGGGTGGGGGAGGATGGAGGCACCGAGGCTGGCGAGGAGGCGAAGTTCAGTTGAGCCCACTCTCAGGTCAGGAGCAGAGTCAGGGTGTGAGGGCTATGGCCCAGTGAGGGGCTCAGAACTATTCCACAGCCCCGGCCCTGAAATACAGGCTCGGCCTCTGTCCTGGGACTCGAGCGCTCCCAACCTGGCCCCTGTCACTCGTTCAGACTAGCGCATCCCTCCAAAGAGCCACCCTCGGTCATCCGGGGCCTTTGCAGAGGCTACCCTCCTGCCCTTGTCTCTACTCACTTAGGCGACCCCTCCTCACACCGCAGGGCTCAGCACACTGGCCTCCAGAAAGCCCCACTTCCTCACCAGCGCCGACCTGCGGCCCAGGCCACTCTTCTCTGGCCCCCACTTCACCTGGTGCTCCTCATGCTGAAGGAGCTTCATGGCTGGGGGGGCCTTCCTGACGAGGCTATGGGCTTATGGAGGGTAGGGTATGTCTGTTTCCTCTGTGTCCATTACATAATCTCAACCACATGAGGAAGGAAAAACCCTACAAAAAAAAAGGAAAATATTCTCTCCCTTCTCAATGGTTGAGACCAACCATTCAGAGATGAAAGAAAAGGAACTGAATATTTTGCATGTAGACATTAGGGGATCTTCAAAATCCAAAAGCTATTTCAGATTTTGAAATTACAAATGATTGAAAACCACCATGGCACGTTAAACCTATGTAACAAACCTGGACAATCTACACATGTACCCCAGAACTTAAGAGTACAATAAATATAGAAAAAGAAACTACAAATGAAAATGCTGTTGAAGTGTTGTACCAGTTTAAATAGCTGGGAAACGAAATATCAATCTCTATAATCCATCTAGACAAAAGCACTTACTTTTTAAAAGAGGAAGATGTTTTGGGGACCAAAAGAGAGAAAACCTCTGTGAATGATCCCAAGCCATGATTGGCCCCTGCTTTGCTCTGAGCTCATGAAAAGCCTTTGTGATGTCATAACAGACAGGCCTATATAAGGCCCTGGCTGGGTCATGGTTTTTGGTCTGATATATCCCTGGAAGCTTCTTTGGTGACCTGTGGACTCAGACCAGTTTAGCGACTGCGAGTTGTGCTGTGTGTGTGTGTGTGTGTGTGTGTGTGTGTGTGTATGTGCGCATGTGTGTGGATCTGTGTGTGTTTCTGTGTTTGAAGAGGGTTGGGTGTGGGGGTGTTTGGGGTGGGGGAGAGTTTCTGTGTGAGGGGCGTTGGTGTGTTCTTCTAGTTAGCATTGTTCGCATAGTTAGTATAGTCAGTATCGTTGCTTAGTATTTTAGCGTACTTTGGTATAGTCAGTATTGTTGCTTAATATTTTAGCATAGTCAGTATACTTAGAGTATTTGTATAGTTAGTATAGAGAGATGTCAGGCACCATGAAGCAGGGATTGGACTCCACCTCACCTGCCCTGGGGCCACCGTATTATCAAAGGCCAGACTCATGCAACTGCCCAGATGACAGACAGCTTTATGCAAAAGTGGAGGAGGCTTCTCAAACATTTGCAAGACAGCCTGTTCTTCTCCAATCTACCTCATCTTAATGGCATTACACAGCTCCTCAAGTTTTGGCTCATCCATCTCCCTCATTCTCCATCCAAATAATCAATAAATCCTGTCAATTCTATCTCAAAACATACTGTGAATTAATCCATTTCTCTCCATTGTCACTGCCATCAACCTTATATAAATATCCATTTTCTTATACTGAATATAATTTTGGTTGATTTTGGTTGAGTTCAATCAATCATTAAACAAAAATTTATTAAGCCTTAGACACTATGGTAGTGTTAGGAATAGCATTAGGAATAATGCTAGGTTTGGAATAGACATGTTCCATAACCTCAAGGAACTTTAGTGGGAGAGACAGAGAAGGAAAGCAATAATTAGAAATCAACATCATAGATTACAGTGCTTTGGTAATGACATACAGGAGATACTCTAAAAATAAAAAAGAAAGGACAATTCATTCATTTTGGTTTGGTAGAAAAGAATCTCCTGGAGAAGCAAGGACTGAGCTGATGAGTTTTCAAGGACAGTATAACTGATGATGAAGCGCAATGCTTATCAAGAACACAGCAGATATTTTACTCTCAAGCATTAAGTCACACTCTCAGTTAACTAGATGGAAAACTATGGGTAAGCAGGAGTTTTAAGTTCTAGTCACTCTCCTTCAAACTCTGTTATTAGCATTTAAAAAGCTAATAATAATTATTAGCGTAAAACAGCCTTCAAGTTCATCTTCTTCCAAGAAGACTTCATTGACACCCAATCAGGAATCTCTCCTTTATCAAAAATCCCATAGAATTAAACTCGGTCAAGGTTATACATCTCACATGGTGCCTCGTAATGTAGTTCTGTCTATACAGGTGTCATCTCTAGAGTAACATCACACAGTTCCTGAGGTGCAGAAACTGCATTTCATCCATCCTGCATCACACACGTGCCCAGATTTGGACCCAACAGACACCCAGCATCATGATTACGAAGTACTAAGGCCGCAGGATGACTAAGGTCTACTTCTTCAAAGAGGTCCTTGCTGTAACTACATTTTATTTTTGATAAAGTCTGATCAAGTATTACCTTATTTGAAACAACTTGTGACTGTATTTTCTAAAAATTGAGTTTACTTCCATAATTTAATAGTATTTTTCAGAAGATCGGATAAAAAGAATTGAAATGCCTTGTTTTAAATGTTACCATATTTCAAAATTTACTCGATTCAGCTAATGCCTTTACAAAATTTAGCATAACCCTGAAACTAAAACATTCAAAGAATAACACTAGACTCAAAAGCTAATAACATTCCAAAGGGTGAAACTGCTATTATTTAATCATTTTCTCTCCAGGGATTGAGTTATGAGAGAGAATGAAAATGAAAGAAAGAATCACATTAGTAAATAAGTCTATGGAATGTTACAAGAAGTATATTAAATGTGCATATGAGTAGAAATCAAGTAGCTCAGACTCAAGATGAAAACTTAATAGACAGAAGCTACTGGATAAATGCCTCCATAAACACAGACAAAGCAAATTCTCTCTAAATACTAAACTGCCTCCCTAGGACAAATCTATGATAAAAGGCTAACACAAAATACCACATTCAAAATGCCAACTGCAAAATGCACCCCAACATTTTTCTTCACATGCAGATATGTGTGGGGAAATTTTTTTAAGCATGATCAGCAATACTCTTTTATAGAACACTCCTGAACAGTGTCCCTTTGTTATGGCTGATGGACAGAACCTATTACTGTGACTACTTGTTCCTGGGAAAGATCTCACAAGCCCACTCTCCAGAAAGAAGCATCTACCACTCATCACCACCAAGTCAGAGGTCTATTGTTTCCTGGCAGTCCACAGTCCTGTGGTACCACCTGAAAATGTGTCTCCCTACAGGCTTGGTAGGGTTCCGTTAATAGAGTCTGAGGGGGATTGGTGGTGGGTGATGGGAGGGGTCTGCTTCCAGCTTGGGGTGAATTTTCTTAGGACTCTCTATACCTTAAAAATCCCTGTTGTCATTTATTCTTACATAAAACCAGCAAAACATTTTCAACTTTATAAAATAAAACCTCTTGAAAAGCAGCTGGTTCACTGTAAAAATGGTATTAAAACCTTAATATGCTATTAATATAAACTTTATCTATTTTGGGCAAATATAGCCTAGAAAGTAACTAGATGATAAGACCCCAGAATTTTGGAATTTAAAGTTGGAAAGAATCTGAAGGATATGGTAACAAAAAAGACCTGGAATTTAAGAAAAATGGATTTCAAAAAAGATAATAAAGTTCTAGGCAGGTTGGCAGCACTAAGTTATATGTGGATTATATTCCACCCACCTTACAAGAATCACTTTCCTAGAACTGTTTTACAGGAAAATCTATCTGACATGGAAAGCCATGCCTGGAGAAAGAGGTTGAGGAAAGTAGAATAAGATAAGATGAGACAGGGCTAAGTGATATTAATTGAGTCCCCATTATATACTCCACACTATGCAAGGCATTTTACACATCCTGTCTCCTATAACTTGCAATTACCTAACTGTAGGTATCATCACTCTCACTTAATACATAAGAAAAATCAGTCTTGAGGATGGAAGGCCACACAGATAGTAAGTGACAGGACTGGGACTACAACTCACAGCTCTGACTCTGCATGTGTACCATCTGCAGCATCCAAATACAGTTCAGGGGCCAAGTTTAGCCCTAACAGAGTTACTTAAGTATATCACTAAATCTACAGGATTCGAGTCAGATATATGAAACTCAGAGCTACTCCAAAACTTCCAGGCAACATCTGGGTTTACCTAGCTTGGGGAAAGTACATTAGTTTTAGGAAACTAATAAAACTAACGTTGAAAGCTAGGATCACTGACATATGAATGAGGTAAAATCCTCAACATATCCCTGAAGACATCTTGTGGTTTAGACATCTCATGGTTTTCAAAAACAAGTCTGCAAAAAACACTTTTATTTTCCCAGGTGTACTGGTGTTTGGTGACTAGCCCATAGCGACTAATTGGCTAAAAATTTTTATTATACAACTACTTAAAAAATTAATATCACCTCTGTGTTACTGATATTTTTTTTTTTTTTTTTGAGGTGGAGTCTTGCTCTGTCACCAGGCCGGACTACAGTGGTGCGATCTCAGCTCACTGCAACCTCCACCTCCCAGGTTCAAGCGATTCTCCTGCCTCAGCCTTCTGAGTGGCTGGGACTACAGGCATGCGCCACCACACCCAGCTATAATTTTTGTATTTTTAGTAGAGATGGGGTTTCACCACGTTGGCCAGGATGGTCTCGCTCTCTTGACTTCGTGATCCACCCACTTCCACTGCCCAAAATGCTGGGATTATAGGGGTGAGCCAGAGCACCTGGCCCATGGATTTTCTTATTCAAAATTTTTAGTGGCTAGCCAATTCCTTAAAGATCCGTCCTACCATTAATTATCACCAAATCAATGGTTTCTCATTTATCAGCTGTCTATAGTCATGCCCCACCACTTGAAACTGTATGTCCTTACAGGCTTGTTGCATTTATAGATGACAGGGTAAAGGCATTTTTTTTTTTTAATTCATGTATCCCATGTGCAAATATATTCCTGATCAAGAGGCACCAGGCCCTAAAATCTCTGCTTGCCCATGCTTACATTGAGTCACCCACAGCAGTCAATACATGAAGAGAAGCAAGATCCTTTTCATACTCCATGGCTCCCAAGCACAGAGCACAGATGGCTTTAGGTGGAGGCAGTATATTATCAAAGATATGAGGAGACTTTGCAGTGAGAAAAACATTGCTTCTGGCCCAGCACTGCTACTTCCAACTCCTGACAAGTTGTTTCATCTCCCCTAGTCTCTCTTTTCTTACTGGTAGAGAAGAGAGTACACCTACTCAAATGGTCATTGTGAGACTTCTATGAGTTAATTTAGAGTTTTAAAGCAGTGTCTGGTACACAGTGAGTGTTCAGTAAAGGCTACTATTATAATTACTGTCATTATCACCATCATCAATGTTTTTATCTTGAAAATGAAAAACATTATCTGCATTTTGGAAAAAGTGAACACTCTTACAGTAATATAAATGAAGGGACACAAGACTACAGACAGAAAGACTAATTAGGAGGCTATTAGTGTAACTCAGGCTACAAAGACATGGGCTAGAACTCAGGAAAGGATCAGTGAAGACAGAAAGGCAAGGACAGAGTGAGGAAATTTGAACTGGACGGAGAACTGGGCAGAGATGGTAGGAGAGGGAGGAGATTATGACTTCCACATTTGTGACTTGGATAAATAGATAGTGGCATCTTATTAGAACAGAAAAAGGTCATGTTTTGCTGTGGAAGACAATTTTGGGCATGGTGCTGCTGGGAATTCCAGGAAGAGCTGTGTAGATGGCAACTGGTTCTGCAGGTAAGAAGAGAGACCCGCACCGGATGCGTGGTTTGATAAGGATCACCTTATGGCTGGCAGATGAGCCAAGGATGTAGAAGAGCATACCCAAAGAGGGCCTGCAGAATGAGAGGAGGCAACAACCAAGACCACAGCACTAGCGAACACCAGCATTAAAGCGTCTACAGAGAAACAAAAATGAATCTGAGGCAGAGAAGAACATCTAGGATACCAGTGCAGAAGTCAAGAGAGGACAGTGTCAAGTCAGGTAAATAAAGATTGATTTGTCAAGGACCTTAGTTACTTAAAAAGCTAAGAGAAACATAGGTTAAATACACAAAGTGGATCACAGATTTGTTCTTTAACAATGTCTTCATATCATGCAATGTTGATGCAATCCTTTTTTGATAATATTTTAACTGTGGTATGCCATGTACCTTGTCCATTTATTTTAATTAAGAAATATTCTTAAAAGTTCACTATGAGTTAAAATCGTGTTTTAACTTTCCCTAAACTAGTCCAATGTTAATAATTTAAAAAAATACTTTTTAGCTTTTAAAAACCCATGTACAGCAAGAATACTGGGATCAACTAATAAATTCTCAAATCTACCTGAATTAATCCTTAAGAACTGTAACTTCTATTTTCTATTCCTCAAAGAAATAATGTGTTATTTTATACGACAATGATGCACTTCTCTAAGTTATAAGGATAAGAATTGGTCCTAAACATGATGTGAAACTTCCACAAAGGAAGGAAAATGTTGCTATCTTTGGGGAAAAATGTCCCTCTTTGAAATCCAGTATCAAACCTCTCCAGTAGCATTAGCTGGCCACAATAATTCAAACCTGTAATCCCAGCTACTCGAGAGGCTGAGGCAGGAAGATCTCTTGATACAGGTTTTGGTATCAACACCCTGTCTGACAACAAAACAAAACAAAAAAAACTCTCTCCAGTAGCAATTGCTTCAATTCCTTTTAAACAGTTACAGTGCCATTTGTTTTTGAGCCAGAATGAAAGTTTAGTAATGGTAAAAGGCAGGCAAAAAAAAAAAAAAAAAAAATAGTAAAAAGGTGAGACCTGCTTCTCGGCCGTAGGAAAAAACTGGGCTACCTCAGACATGCTAGAGCACAGCCCAGAGACGGTAGACAAGGGCTGCGGCAGAGAGGAGGAGCACTGTAGCACTGTTTTTTTGTTGCTGCCTTCACTGCGGTTCTTTCTTACCACTGACGTCAGAGCACGTATGGCAGGCTGCCAGGTATGCCTGTGCCTGTCCCAGCTCTCATATCCAACAAGAAAACCAGAAAAGTGAGGAAAGCATAGGGTAATACCATGGTTTTCGCCTTACATTCAACTTAAGACTAAAATAACAAACTTTATACTTTTGAAAGTATCTCTGAAAAGCACTGTAACTGATGGAACATAAACTCCAACGCAACCATGGATCATGTAAAACGTATAATATTATTCCAAATGTAATAAATTCTAAAACACTGAAAGTTATTACAGACTCTGTAAATTATAATGTACAAACTATAATCAATCTAACTTTGGAAAAAGGATTACCTGTTTTTTAACCCAGGATAATAATAATTATGCTTTGCTTAATTTCAGAAAACTTTTCCCAAGATTGCTAAATCTTTAGTCTCCACTACTCTCCACCTTGAAGATATACTTTAGGTTTTCATCCCTCTTAAATGCAAAATGCTTTATGAGCCCCAATGTGTCACTTACGTAACTGGAGGGAAAGCGATAACAAAGAGAGTTCTGTAAACTAGAGAAACATTTATTATTTTAAAATGGCAAACAGATACTCATTGTTCAAATAAAGCTTTAAGAACTTAAATATCAGTCCTAAACTGTATTTCCTGTCAACTCAAGAATCTAATAATCTGTTAAATATTCTAGCTACATCTGTTCTCATGGCTACACATAAAATCTGAAACTGCCAAAATTTATTCCCTAACAGACACTTTAGAGCAAAAATTTTGTTAAGTTCAATGTCTTGCCAACTCATAAGCTTAGGTTTAATTTTAAAAGAAAATGTAAGGTGTGATTACACACTTACGAAGCCAACAAATTCACAGCTCTCAGTCTATTTTCAAGAGGTCATTGGCCTAGTAAAGGTCATTACATTGTAATAAAGATAATAAAATAAAAATGTCAATTAACTTTCAATTAATCACCTGGGAACCATCTAAAATGTAGCATCTAATAGGGAGGGGAAGTAAAAGGATATAACAGAGAAAAGAGATACAACTTTGAGCCTTTTTTATATTTTCCATGTCTCCACTTCACTTTTTGAACAGAATACAGTTACAATAACAATTTTTACTGCCCTTGTCTTCTAATTCTATTATCTGTGTCAGTTTTGAATGGTTTTGATCAACTGGTTATCCTCCTCAATATGTTTTCCTAATAATCTTTGATTATGTATCAGAGAATGTGATTTATCTTGTTGGGTTCTAGATATTTTATATTCCTATAAATACTCTTAAGCTTTGTTGTATAGTTAATTTACTTGGAAACAGCTTGATCCCTCTGATGCTTGCTTTATGATTTGCTAAGCAGGTCTGGAGCAATGTTCAGATAAGACCCAATTACACATTCTACTGAGGCAAGAATTCACCAAGTCCACTTCCCAACACCTCAGGAGTTACAAGTCTTCCCAGTCGGGCTATTGGAAAGAGGCACTGTGTGAGTGCCAGGCGCTGTTAGCTCATCCTCTTGATACTTTTTTGCCTCCTGCCTTGGGTAGTTTCCTCACTTGCATTATCAGCACTCTGCTGAATATTCAAGGGGACCCTTTGAGCAACTCTCTCCTCTCTGGGACTGTGTCCTATAAACTTGAGCTGCCTTGATCTCCCCAGATTTAGCTCTTCAACTCTGAGTCTACCAGGCTCTGCCTGGGTCCACTTCCCTGAACAGCACCCTGGCAACTCTCTCTAGGCGGGATGCAGAGGCAATCACAGAACTCAACTCAGTTGTTTCCTGTCTATTAGGTACCGTCACATCTCTTCTTTGCCCCAAATCCGGTGTCTCAAAAAACAATCTCTCATTTATTTTGCCTGGTTTTTTTTTTTCATTTTATCAGGTGGGAGAATAAATCTGGTCCCTGTTACTCCATCCTGAGTGGATGCAGAAGTCCACTCTCTCTTTTTTTTTTTTTTTGAGATGGAGTCTCGCTCTGTCACCAGGCTGGAGTGCAGTGGTGGGATCTCAGCTCACTGCAATCTCCGCCTCTGGGTTCAAGAGATTCTCCTGCTTCAGCCTCCCGAGTAGCTTAGACTATAGGTGCGGACCACCACGCCCGACTAATTTTTGTATTTTTAGTATACATGGGGTTTCACCATGGTGGCCAGGATGGTCTCAATCGCTTGACCTTGTGATATGCCTGCCTCGGCCTCCCATTGTGTTGCAATTACAGGCATGAGCCACTGAACCTGGCCTCCACTCCCTTTTTGTAAAATCACCTCCTGAGGAAAAGTCCTCCTGCTCCCCTTTTCATTCAGCATCCAAGTTCTCCTGCTCCCCTTTTCATTCAGACCTCTACTGCAGAACCGCAGAAGCCAGTGACTGCTCTTCTCTGTGGGTCCTTTGGAGCAGGTGCTCTGGATGTTCTCTTTTGGTTTTAGAGCCATCTTCATCCCGAACAATGCTGTTGGTTTCTTCTGACCCATTATCTGCTCAGCAAAGCCAGGCCTGAAGGCCACACTCCTGCCATACCTCCCCTTCTCCCTGACTCGCCAGTCTCTTGGCAGGTGAGCTTGAACAGTCATTTCTTGAAGCTCAGGAGTCCGGAAGCTTATAACAATAATATATGTTATTCTCTAGAACATACACTGGCTAAATACCACTACAAATGTGCCATAATCTCTTAAATAAATCTGTTATGCTTGTAAAGATTTTCTAAATATGGTCCATAGTCCAAATGTTCCCAAAACCAAAATCAAAAACAAACAAAAAAAACAAAAACAAGGGCAGAGTTCCTTGGCATTAACTATAATGATATATAAACATAAAGCAAAAAGAATGAGGACTCTTAAAATATACGTAAGCACCAAATCTCATCAGAAGCAGCAGCGACCACCACTTCTAGGAGGTGGGTTCTAGGATACGACCAACTTCAAAGTCTGGATAAATCAGTGAAAAACGTTTCTGGAGTCAGTATGCCCCTAAGCAGATTTCAAGTCCAACAGAAGAATATGTTGAAATTATGAGTCACTTATAATTAACAAGAACCGCTAAAATCACTGTTTTTCAAGATGTTACTATTTTTGGAGAAATTCTGATGGAATGCTATATTACTGAAAGGGAAAGCATAAGTGATCTAAAAATTTGGAAATAAGAAATATTTTAATTAAATTACACACATGTATGATTTCAAACACAACTAATTATTGTAAGATAATTTCAATAAGCACTCTAAGGATTATGGTGGCACTGGAAAGATTAAAAATCTAGAAAGTTGAGATTCTACACTTCCCTTTAGCTCTATCTCTAAATCTACCTACTGTTCATGACTTGGGGTCTTTGTTCTCACTGTCCCTTCTGTTTGGAGCTGTACAGTCCTAGATCCTCATATGACTGCCTTCTTAGTGAAGCCTCTTCTCACATATCTTCTCAGAAGGGCCCGCCCTGCTCACCCTAGCTGAAGCAGTCCTCCTCGGCCTTACCACTATATCATTACTCCCTTTTATTTCCTTCAGGTCTATATTATTGTCTGAAATTATTCTTTTTCTTTATACACTTATTATCTGTCTTCACCACAGCCCTGACTAAGAATGAAAGCTGATTCTCAAATCTCAAGGCCATTTTTTTAAGTGCTAGCTAGACAACTCCACCATGTAAAGGGTTTTAAGTTCTTTATTTTGGCTCATATACTAAATATTAGTTCTTCTTTCTTAATGAAAAATATATTTCCTATTGTTTATAAAAGCTTCTGCAGGGGTCCACCAATTAGAATTGTATGGCTGAGTACTCATCTTTGGAACTGACAACTTAGCTACTGGTGTCAGTACCTGTCTTTGCCTGTAGCCATTTCTAGCCACTGTATAATATTTTGCTGTCTATCAAGGCAATGTCCATTCCTGTCTATAAAGGCATTGGTAACAGTAGTATCATTTTACATGCAGAAGAATATTTAGAAAAGCAATGTATGGGTATCTTCCCCCTACAACCACACAAGTGTCTCAGATAACCAGCTAAAGAGAGATATCCTTCTTCACAGCACAAATGAAGTGGATTAAACTATTCAGATGTTTCTCA